ACTACTACCAGTACCAGTACCAGTACGAGAGTGCTAGTACTAGTACTAGTAGCCGCAGCAGCAGCAGCAGCAGCAGCAGCAGCAGCAGCAGCAGCGGCAGTAGCAGTAAGCATCACATCAGAAGGACCCAAAATAAGGCGAAGGCTGTTGTTTCGGTGGCTTCGGTGCCGCCTGGCGGTATCGGTGAGCAACCTAAGCCTGCCCCTAAACCCTGAACCCGAAACTCCAAACATGTTCTGTGCTCTTTACCTCGACACCCCAACCCAACAAATAGCTCCACCACTAGGTCGAGGGTTTAGGGTTTGGGGTGTTCCCATGTTAAGGATGTAGGGTGTACGGTTAAGGGTTGACTTCCACGAAAACCCGAACTCTAAAGTCCCCAAAACAAACGGTGCCTGGACATGGATTGCTCTCTTTGCGTCGGACGACGGCCTGCTGTTGCTCACGGGATCATCTGGCTTTCGGCTGATTTCCCAATAAACTAAATGTTGAAAATCAAGACGACGTGAAGATACATCTTCTTGTTTGAGCTTGAGTCTTGCTGCCTCCGAAGCCAGATCCCCAAGCCTGAAAACCCCGGAGTCGCCGCAACCCCGAACCCCAAACACGCCAGATCCAGGGTGCAGGGTTTAGGGTTTAGGGCTGAAGGTCTAAAGCAAAAGCCCCCCCCAACCCCGAACCACGACCCTACAAGCCCCATTACAGGCTGCAAGCCTCCTTGCTACCAGCGGTTTCCGGTGGTTCTAAAAGTGTCTAAATATTGACGGGTTGGTCGGTCGACTCGGTCGACTGAAGCACAGACGACTGTGCAGGGTGTGGGTTCGGGGTTCAGAGCTGCGGGTGCAGACTGGAGGAGCCATATGCTGCCGCAGATCCTCAGAAAGACTTCTGTCCGCACAGCCAGAAATCGACCGGTGTCATAGGCAAGGTGAGAAGCCAAAGTATCTAGGCATGAGGACCTTCCAAAAACCCATAACTTCAACCAAACGCCGATCCTACCTCGCCTGTATGGACTACCCCTTGCAGCCCCTATGCAACTACACTCTCAGGGTTCCTTTGTCATGCCCCAAACCCGGCTCTGACGGCTATGTCTAGTCTTGATCGGACCCTGGGCCTGACTTTCACCGACCTCTGGCCCTAAACCCAAGGGAATCCTTCTGATTTTCGGTGATGACCCCGTAATCATACGCCTAATTAACAGGTTTACTGCTACTTTATAGCTACCCAAAACGCCCACCATTCCGGCTTAACGACGTACTACACGATGAACACAAATCAGAAAGAAACATCGCAGGGATTGAAACAAAGGGCCGTCCATGCGTCAGATTGCAGAAGGGAGCCCGGAAGCACAAATTCTTGGCGACTCACCGGCTGCTGCGATGGTAGGTTCACTCCCTCGGATGAGGACACGAAAGTGGAAAGCGTTCTCGGACGAGGTGTTCGAAGGATCTCTTGTTGGCGCAAATTTTGGGCCTATGTAGGGTTTCAAGATTTTCAGGCTGTGAAGGATGTAGCATTGTCAGGGCTTTAGGGTTCTGATGATCTCACTTGAAGCAACTCCTCTTTTGCCCCAACCTAAACCCTAAACCCTAAACAAATTCTAAATCTGAAATAGACTCGAAGTTCCAAATAAACCCTGAACCCAAACCCTTTCCAGGGAGGGGCTTGGGTCCCGACAGTGCCACCCACCGAGATTACCTTCGCGCCTGATGCAGCAAAAGAGAGGAGGCTTGGGGCTCCATAGCAATACCGTTGGTCTTATCATGACCGTAGAATTTAGTAGTGTTCTCAGGATGGATATATACAGATATACGTGCAATGCCAGACATATTAGCTTATGCATAATCAAAATTCGTATGTGTGTATACGTGTACATACACCGGAATTCAACAAGTTTTGCCATTGCTTCAAGCCTCCTTAACCCTTAACCCTACACCTTAAACCCTGAACCCAAACCCTAAATCCTACTCCAAGCTCCGGTGTTCAGGCTGGACTCCCGCCTCCTTGTCCTCGGAACCTCAGCGGGCTCGGCTTCAGACTTACCAACCCCAAGCCCCAAGCGCGAGTTGCGGTTGGGGCCTCAGGGTTCAGGCTTTTAGGGCTTTAGGGTTTGGTAATGGCCCTGGGAGTTGTGAGGTATTCTACATTCAAACAGGATGCGCATTGCTGCTTGGTTTGGTTCGTTGTGTAATACAGTGTGCTTGGCGACGTTTTGGCTGAGGCGCCTTCGCAATGCCTTGCTACGCCCTTAACGATTTCCGTTACACTCCGGTAGTTTCAGGCCCGAACCCAGGGCCTTCGGGCTGCAGGGTTGAGAGGAAAGGGATCTGGACTATACCAGCTCCGTTGGTTGCAGTGAACGAGAGCACTGCACAGGAACGGCTCAGCCCCACTCGCTTGATCGCAAAAGCGACTGATCTCCTCGAATGCTGGGATGTCCCAGCTCAGTGCTTTCCCGTCAACTTGCAAGCTGAGTATAACCTGTAACATCTATACTACCTACATAGCAGACAAGAGATTGTATATTATATTATGCCTTAGATATTATATGTTATATAGCACAATGTATATCATATGTAATATGGGTATCTATCTATCTGTCTATCTATCTATATGTAATGTAATATATCTACTGAAGTCAAATAAACATTTAACATAATGTAATACAATATAAGAGGTCCGGTATGCCTGCACTCAAAAGGTCTCTCGGCCCTCGACGTAGGCCCCGCCGGCGCGGCCGCCCGGCCTGTGTAAGTGGGCCTAGCCGGGCAGATGGACTTCTTGAAGGGTGTAGGGTTGAGGGCTCAGGGTTTAGGGTTTAGGGCTTAGGGTTTAGGGCTTAGGGCTTTGGGTTTGGATGGTTTTGGCCTTTGGGTTTAGCGTTTAGCGGCAACCTAGGCTCTATGTAAGTCCCCCTGGCCAGGCTTCGCGTTTCGTTTTGGGCTTGCCATGTCGAGTTTCGAAGGGTTTAGGGTTTGGTGTTGAGGGCCCCCAAAACAAGAAGGAACCCCCAAGACCTAAACTCAAAGCACCCGAGACCCCGGAAGTAGAAGCCCGAAACCGAGAAACGAACTTCAAAGCTCTCCACTTCCTGAAGGCTCCGGGATCTGGTGGTTGGGAGAAAGAAGCGTTTTGAAAGACTTTGGTTTCGGATTTACGGCTTAGGATTTTAGGGTTTTGAATGCAAAGTTTAGAAATTTTGGTTTAGGATTTAGGGCCATTTAGGGTCTAGGATATTGGGTTTCGGACTTAGGGTTTCGGGTCTTGAACTGAAGAGCAGCGCAGACGAGGCTGAAGCCTCTAGATGTTTCAGATATGACATCTGACATCCTTAAGATCACTACGAACTCTGAAAACAATTGCCCGACCCGAACCCCTCAACCGAAGAGCACGATCCCAAAGCGGTTTAGGGTTCAGGGTTTAGGGTTTAGGATGCTAGGTTTAGGGTTCAAGCCTGACCCGAAACAAGTGGAAACCCCCAGAAGCTCAGCCGACGGCCTCTTAGGCCAAGCCGTCGTGGTTGACTACTGGCCTGACAGCGAGTTCCGGGCTTGTGGGTCGATGGAGAGCTTGGGCTATTAGCGCTTGATGAGTGCTAGGAGCTGCTCTGCAGATCTTCGACACTTAGTCCGGGAATGGATGCCCGGTTTCGATCTGATTCACAGGACCTCTCAACTGTTGCCTGCAATCATCCTCTTCAGTGTTGCCCCTTGCTTGGAGCACATGGCGTGAAATCATCGCCTGTAGCCCCACCGCCAGCACACCGCAAGGTGCAGATGGCAAACCATGTGGCGTCGTTTTCACGCTCACATGTCGGCACACGCAAGAACCGAAGCTGAAAGAGCAAAAGATCGGTTTTTGGCTGGGAGGTGGAGGCTCCGCAGGTGCAGCACAATGCTAGAGAATGTCTCTGGGTTTATCTTGGGGGGGCTGTGCTCGGGTAGCAGCTGCTGGAGCTCTCACGACTACTTCTTATCTGCATCGTGAAAGCCGAATCCACACTACCCGTTTGAGCATGAATGAAACCGTGGCGCTTCTCTGATCCACACGCAACTTGTTCAACATCAAATCGGAACAAGCCTGAGCTCCATCACCGGATACTCTACAGCATGTAATGTATGTATGCACGTCGGTATACATATACTATCATACAACACTGGATGTCATGTATAATAGATTACACATACTGTATGCAATATGTACATATATATATATATATATACATCTATGTATATATATATGTATATATATATATGTAGATATATATATATATATGTAGATATAAAATACATGTGCTCTATCTATATATATATATGATACCTTGAATACCAAACTTCACACGCTATATTTGATATACATGTTCAATAGCTTGTGCGTTATATACTGAATTATATACCGCATATCAAACATCAAACATCATACATCATGTATTGCAGCTTTTTGGCATGTGTATATACACATGTACCTATTATTCAAACATGTGTTACGTTTTAGATATTGAATGATATATGCTCTATGGTATATAGTTGATAGTATGTAAGTGATAGTATACATCATTAACTAGAACCGATGTATAAAACATTGATCACTTGACATACTGACTTGTATATTATATACCATATGTTACGGTTTCGAAAGTTTCATTTGTAAAACATATATTCCATATGAAATATTAGACAGCAGCTCTTCGATAAAAAATGTGCATATATTTATATATCATGTAGATTATGACAAATAAAGGATACTAGGCATAAACATACTATGCTATCTGCTACATTTTTTACGAGATATATGATACATTGCAAATTTCATCACATATTATACATTATATGTTATTTATTGCATAATATTTGTTGTATGATATGTAATGTAACACAACGTTTAAGGAATACAAAGCCCTTATACATTGTAACGAATCTTCCATAAACAAAACTGTAAAAACACTATATATATATATATATATAGCACACCCTTTACATAAATGTGCATATGTATATACACATACAAAAACATATATATATATATATAGATATAGATATAGATATAGATATAGATATAGATATAGATATATATATATAGACATACATGCACATACGTATATATAAATACACTCATATACATATACCTATATACACATATACACATATACACATATACACATATATATATATATGTATCTGCACACATACATTCGTGCATGAATATACTGTATATAATACGGTAAGTTTACGATATGAAAAATTTTTGCAATACATACAGTATATAACCGTTACATCAGAAAATTCATGTTAAAGGTATATTCTATGCTATACGCATATACTAGTCATATTGCAACATCCATAAAAAAATCTTAAACCCAATCTCTCACATCTTGCATCTCACACCTTGTATCTTGTACAAGGTGTATAGTATGTGTTTTCATAACACATATGTTGTATTATGCACTGTGTGTTGTATCTTACTTGTTTGTTACTTCTTGATTGGAATGTTTAATGTTTATATATATATGTGTACATATATATATATATACATATGTATATGCAGCTTATTATACTATGTTCTATCTTAGTACATTGTATTATACTTTACTATATTGATTGCAATAACTCAGTGTCGCTTCGGGCGGCAGGATTTCCTGAAATCACGGACAGTCCGCAAGCACCACCCAAAGATGAGTTTAGGGGGTGTCAGAAGCATCATACCCGAAGTCGGCCCCCCGTTGTTCTCCGCAGGCTTCCCTGGGCCACGAGTCTGCACGCGCCACATGACCCGCTCCGCGCCCGCTGGGAGTGAAATGGTGGTGGCCTGCAGAGCACTTGAGGCAAGCAATTGGGATGGCCTCAGACTACTACCAGCGCCCAAAATATACTGCAAGGTACTATCATATACTATAATATACTATGGAAACATACTAGGCAAACATGTGCATTAATGTTGGAACTGGAGTTTAAAGCCTGAGGGTCCTCGAAGCGGCACGGTGCGAAACTAAAGCTGACACTGTGGCACAAGGACCCAGCCGTCTATGTTCTCCACGGGTGCTGTCCGACAGCGCTGTCAAAACTCGGCGACCCTTTTGAAGCCCGAGCGCAGGTTCCGCTTGCCTTGTGCTGCAAGCGGTGGTTGTCCCACACCTCGGAATTCGATAAGCCGGCGACCTTGACCGGTTCCCCATCCTCTCTTCTCCAAGACCACAAAGCTCTAGCCTTATCATGCTCACATCCATGAGTAGCCCTCAGTGCAACTGGGGACCTGCACGCATGAACCGCAGGCTGATACCTCCCTCAAAACCTAGGGTTTAGAGCTCAGGGTTTATGAAACCTGACCCTGCACCCGAAAACCCTACAGCCCTGAACTTCTGACTGCGAGGGACCAGAAGATCATCTGTCCGCCAGCGGTGGCGGTAGGTGCTCTGCAGCACCTCGTCTCCGAATTGGCGAATTGGGGTGGAGGGTTCAGCATTTGGGGCTTGAGGCTTCAAGGATACGGATTTTAGGCTGGTGGGCTTCGGGCTTGGTGTCTGGTTGAGGAGTTCGGGGCAGGGAAACCTCCATCCCATATCGTATGGAAATTGCATGTCGCGCCATGTCCCTCAGCAGACGCTTTCATCGACTACATCGAGAAGCTGACATGCGATGTAGGCAACTGCTATAACAAGTGTGTTCAGCGCCCTTCGCCTCCCGAACATAGCAAAGACAAGGCACGTGCTCCTGCAGATCTGCGAGCAGTTGCTTTGACTCCTCCTGCTGGCATGGTATTGAGGCATGGGGATCTCCCCACGAGGGAGATCTACTCTCACATAATATAACTTACCGTAACGCACTGTAACTTACTGTATATACTTATATTTATTTACTGTAATATACCATGATGTACAATACAATTGATAAAAACCACAATATACAAAATATACATATATACTCGAATACACTGTAGTATAGGATAACGTTCTACAATAGACTATAAAATACTTTCAAGGGTGTTTGACAACATCCGTCATAGTATACTATAAAATATACTGTAGAATCTACTATATCATCTGCTATACGCATGGTGCAGCTGCACCTCTGCAGCAGGTGCCTTGTAGGACCATTTTTTAACCCAGGCTCTGATCATCAGACATCCTAAACCCTAAAGCCTAAAGACAAAGATCTCTCCTCCACGAGGCCCTCAATGCGAGAGACGTAGGCCTCGTTCACGAACACCTGGGGTTTAGGGCTTCTTTTTTTATCACCTCGTTTCCTTCCGCCGGAATAAGTGTCCAGAATACCATGTTGGTTGAGGCAGGATTCCAGAGAGCCAGCCGTAAAGAGGGGATTCGACCACCACACCCTGATGCTTCACCCTGACCCCAGGCAGGACAGGCTCCCCACGGAATGTGAAGGCACACTCAGCTTCGCGCTAGTTCAGACTAAGTCGATGTGACCTTGGTCCTAGACAACACCCAGCATGCGAAGCCGACTTCAATGCCCTTGCAGACTGACGACGTACACTCCGGGGTTTAGGGTTTAGTGTTTAGGGTTTCAAGCCTGAAAAAGGGTAGTTCTCTAAATCCGGATACCTGTGTAGGTCCCCACAAGTACGGCATCCTCAAACAAAACTTAAAAGTAAAAGGGACCCCAATTCAGAGAACTACCCTAAAGTCTACAGGACTCCACATGATCACTCTCGGCGGCAACTTCGCAGCTTACCGCGTAGCTGTGCTGAACTTTACTTACCACTGAGCCCTGAAGCCTAAACCCCAATACCCTGAGCCCATTATTATATCCTCTCTATCTTCTATATTCTATGTTCCATCTTCCCAATATTCCATATTCCAAGATGCTATATATTGCCACATATACAATATGTGTTACAGATGTTATATTACACGTTCCAAACCTATAGCGTCTCCGGGATCGCCGAAAAGGGATGCCACGGCACAATTTCCCTGCCACTGAAGGGATGGGAGCGAAGCACATCGTGCAAGATATCCTGGCCAAAGAAAACCCTGACCCTGTACCCTACACACCACAAGGAGGGCAAAAGAAAAGACTTTAAACCCTAAACAAAACCCAAAAGGCAAGAAACTTTTCGTCAAAGCGCCGAAGCGGGAGCTTTCAGGAGCCGATGGTTTCTGGAGAGTATTGGCTTAGGAGTTTGGGCAAGCCTTCAGGGAGCCGAAAGCCCCTAAGCCCTGATATACACAAGGGGTCCCGCACCCAGTTTGGATCTCGTAGTGCCTCGAAAAATCAACGCTCGCTACGTCTGGGGTGTCCTAAACACTCGGTACGTGCATCTGGCGTGCTACAAGAAGTCAACCCTTCTCTTCATCTCTGCGGTTTGGAAAGTCAGGGCTCGGTACGTGTATCTGGCTGCATCTGACCTCGTAGTGTTCTGCACCGGTACAGAAAAGCAAAATTGCTCGGCGTGAGGCGTTCGCTTCGCTGTGCCAGACACTTTGCAACTTGAAGTCGTAGCGGGACTCTCAAACGGTCAGTGTGTTTGCTGCGTTTTGACGCTTGGAAAGCGCTCGTCCCCGTGTGCTAATCTCTGTCCGGGGAGGGTGTTCCAGCGCTCCACTCTGTGTTGGCTACAGGTCTTGTCTCAGCTCATGCTCGGGAATCGCGTCTTTTGGGTGCTACACATTATGCGGGCTCTAGGCAGGACGCAGAATCTGAGGGGCTCTAAAGTGCTTGCAAAAAAGGGCGCGCTGTTAGGAAGGGCCGTGGCGAGCTCTGAAGCCCTGAACCCTAAACCCTTAAACCGTGAACTCTCAAAGCCCTAAACCCCAACTCCGTCCGGCGCAGGCTGCCAACCGCCTGCTGCCATCTCTGGCAGAGGTACACCACCGTTGTGAGCCTCAGATGTGGGTTAGGGTTTAGAAGTTTAGGGGGTTTGATGAAGACCTTCAGGGCTTGCGGCGGGCCTGTCAGTTGCTCCGTTCGTCATTTGGTGGTTGGTTGGCCGTAACTTAACCCGGTTCGGGGGTCGAACTCTACCCCTGCGTTTTGCGCAGTTCAGGTCCGCCTCCTCCACGACATGACTATCA